ACCTGTGCCTTGGCAGATGCACATCAAGAAGATAAAGATACACTTCCTTACCATCCCCCATTTTATACACAGTGAGAAGGAGAAAACAGCTAAATTTTCAAAAGCACTTAAGTGATACTAGAAATCCGAATTCCATTTTAAGTAGCAGCTTAAAAATACCAGTTTTCAGTGAAATTTGGGCTCATTTACTTTAGAGAATTCAACAGTGTGCTTAGTGAAAATGCTGCGTGTGTCTGTATTTTTGAAAGTCTGCTTCTTGCAACCTTAAGCATTTATATAAACTTTAGAGACTTCCACATCTAAAAACATTCATCACTTTTGAAAACAGGACTTTTCCTATTCTAATTATTGTATTTCAAAGCTAAAAACATATTCCTCAGGGAGGAAGACCACAGACCTAAAGCACAGATGACTACTCTATAGCTATGCCCTCTTGACATGCTCTAAAAAGGACTGCAAGAGCTTGTCTTGTCACGGAGTTTCAACCTAGCTGTCCCAGGATATAGACTTCTCTCAGCCTATGAATTTCACCAGCTGCATTGCCCTGGTAAATTCTTCTGGTTATGGATATAATTTTAAACAGTGCCTGAGGTATTCTGTGTCTCAACTTCTACCTGGTCTCTTCTGGATGTTCTTTATGCCTGTCTCATATTCACCCAGAAGGCCTGCAGGAGCTAACTTGAACTAAATCCTTTCATACATCTTCCAAAACAAAACTGAATATAAGTCATATTCATGGCACAGATATAACACTACTGGATTCCCAACAGCTCAGTGATGTTTGCAGATTTGTATCTGGTTTTACCAATTCTGACTCTGCCTGTACTATGGTGCAGGCCATTTCTCTTATAAATACTTATCTGAGCAAATTTAGTATTCATACTCCTAAAATGTCAAATTTGCTAATCAAATATAATTAACAATATCTCTCCTAATTTTTGTCAGCATGTAAAATGCAATGCATAGGGTAAGAAAAACTCCAGGTTTTTGTGGTGAGTACTTTCTCCCTTTCAGGCATCTCTGACAACTTAAGTCCTGTTGAAACCTCTGAAACATCAGGAATAAACTGGTTTCTACTTTTCATCATCAACACTGTAAACACTTCCCTACAGAGGTGGGAGGAGGTGTTCAAAAAGGCTTACAGAGATCATCTTTACTGCGGCTGTATCATCAATCAGGAAACTTGGCCAAGGCCAGTAATTACAACCATGCTAAATTACACTCAATTTCTGTAGCACCGGCATTTCATAGAAAGCAAGGTGCAAAGCTGAAGGAATAAAAGTCAACACAGTGACTTTTCCTACCTAGTAATTTCTAGTACGTCTGCTGGGAAAAGTGCTTAACATGGACCTAGCTGATGCAGCCAGCCAGTATGGGACAGACAGAGGAGTGGCACATGAGCTCTTACCAAGAGCGTCCAACAGAGAAGCTGGACAGGAACACCTGCATATCCCATTGCAGCAACCCATGCAGACAAACTGCTGTTATCCTATATGATCCTACATTTCCAATGCAGATTGGTACAGATGCTTCATTTGGCTCAAACAGAATACAGCCCAAAACACAACAAAATCATCACAAGTCCCCTGATGCACTTTTGCAACCTCTTGCCCAGAGGGCCGCAGTCCTTAAGCTTCATCTGACCACAGGAGATTTCATCCCAAAAGGAAGTTTCTACCTCCAAGCACATTAAGGTGATGTCAGCTTGGGTGATACGACTGTGTGTCTTTTGCACATTTTTTTCCTCTCCTAAGTCCTTTATCAGGACTGTTGGCAAAATCCCTTACCATTATTGAGCCTGATCTAAGTAGTAAGCTAAGAAAATCAAATTAATGTCATTCTCAGTAACACTTAGAAACTGCAAGCTAAGCAGCTGCCACTTATTCCTAGTAACTCAAAGTATATAATATTGAAAGCAGTTTTACAATAAAATATATTGATTTTGTCAGGTTTGGGCTTCCCCCCACCCAAGCAACATATGTTGCGTGTTCTATATTTGTGGGACTACATATATGCAGGTTTCATTGCAGTAGCTATGACTTGCCAAACAGATGTTAAGGGAAAGCAATTTAACATGGGATAAAAGCTGTCTCAGATCAAAATATTGGATTAAGAAATATCTTGTGAGGAATATGGTATACTAAAAGTATTGATTGTATATCTATATACAGAACCAATAGGTAACTGAATTAATGCTTGACTAAATTTGTTGAAACCATGCTATTACATAGGGAAAAAACTACCAAACGCCAAGAATTATGTTAATTAAAGTATAGCAGCTATTTAAGTTTTTTAGGTTCCAAAGTATTTATATAATTCATTTTACCTAAAGTCCAGATTCTCACTAATACCCTAACAGCTAGCTGAAATAGTTTGAAAAGTGATGAAGAGTTTGAAAAGGGATTGTCCTGGGTTCAGTTACAGCAGTCATTTTGTCTCCTTCTTAGTAGCTGTGGCAGGGCTGTGTTTCTGACTTTCAGTCTGGAAACAACACTCATAACACACCGATGTTTTTAGTTGTTGCTCAGTAATGTTTACTCTGACCAAGGACTTTCTCAGTCTCATGCTCTGCCAGGGAGGAGGGGAAGCCGGGAGGAAGCAGAGACAGGACACCTGACCCAAACTGGCCAAAGGGCTATTCCATACCACAGCACGTCATGCCCAGTATATAAACTGGGGGGAGTTACCCGGAAGGCCCAGATCGCTGCTCGGGTTGGGCTGGGTATCGGTCGGTGGGTGGTGAGTGGTTGTGTCCTCTCCCCTTGTTATTTCCCTTATCATTATCATTATTATTGGTAGCAGTAGTGATTTGTATTATACCTTAATTACTGGACTGCTCTTATCTCAACCTGTGGGAGCTACATTCCTCTGATTCTCCTCCCCATCCCTCCAGGAGCAGGGGGAGGAAGAAAGAGGGGGAGTGAGCGAGCGGCTGCGTGGTTCCGAGTTACCAGCTGGGCTTAACCCACAACAGTTCTTTGTGGTGCCCAGCGTGGGGCTTGAAGGGTTGAGATAATGACAGATCTGACCAGAGCGTGTCTAATCATATTTGTGATAAGCATTCATTGTTTTGGATTAATAGTCACTCGTCATAATGCTGATTTATTGGCTCTCAGTGTTGTTGTGCTTCATCTCAGAGTTTCAGCATGTCGTACCTTACAGCCAGTATTTGCTGTTTAAGTGTTTATCAGCTGGGGGGCCTGGCCTGAGGTTATTGTTTCACTGTACTTCATGATAATGACTTATAATGGAATAGACTCATTGATCATGAAACTGGTCTGGCTTGCGTTCCCAGCACGGTCATCACCTCTATACTTTGGGAGGTACATAATGAATTTTTTTAGCAATTACATCGCTTTTTTTTCTCCTCAGGAGGTCAGCCTATGAAGGAGGCATTCCCTTACACCTCCCGCTCCCCCATCAGCCTATTTACAACAGCATTTGAGAGTTCTGAAGGGTTTGGATAGCCTTTGAAATAATAAAACGACAAGAAATTTTCAGTCCCCAAATACAGCGTGTTGGAGTGTTACCCTGAGACTGACAGGCTTCTCTGCAATTTGCTGTAATTTGCGTAATACCCAGTCAGTAGGCCTTAGCTTATGCCAATACTTTGTTCATGACTAAGCCTAATGACAGAATTCATTTCAATTTACTCTCTGAGAAGACAGAAGGGTCAATTTCTTACCATTTAGAATCAACACTTTTCATCACCTACACCCTTTCCCATTATGAAAATAATTAGATTGCTATAGAGTCAGTTCAGGATATGAAAACTGACATGAAATCCTTCATATGTGGTTTTTTTTCCTTGAATTTAGTGACAGTGTTGACTGAAAACCTGGTACTAACTACTTTAGGATTTTAGGTCTGGTTTAGCAAATATAATAAAAGACATAGTATCTTAGAAGACTTCTATGGTTATTTTCAATGTACATCTGATCCACTCAAGAACAACTCTTTGGATGTCCGTGACAACAATATTTCTAACCTCAGGTACGTAACTTCTGTTCCTTCTGAACTGGTACTGATCGAAAAAATCTACAATGCATTTCTTTTATTGTGAAAAAGGAACTTGCAGTTCCAGAAGCCAGAAATAAGCTCATCTCTCCTCTCATACAGAAATAACTTCCCAAGTTGGCAGGAAAACCTGGTTTCCTCCACATTCACTGCTACAGAAAAGTGATTATACTCTCATATGAACATGTTATATAAAGTTCAAAGCAGTGAAAAGGTTCCACATGAAGGAAAAAAACATAAAATCAAACCCAGTCAGTAAATATTTTACAACATTTTATACTCATGAAACAGGTAGTAAACAAACAAAAAAAAAAAAAACAAACCAAAAAAAACCCACAAAAAACCACACACACCAAAAAAACCCACCACACACACACAAAACTCCCCAAAAAACAAAAAAAACCCAACAACAACAAAAAGAAAAAACACACACACAAAAAAAAAAATCTAAAAATCCACAGTCTTTCAGAGATTAGAGGTAAAATTTTCCATCCTAAACCCATGCAGACTAAAGGTTTACTCTACCATATGGATTGAGAAATAAAAGCCAGGATTCACTTATTTGCCAGAGATTAAATGGGGCTTTCTTAAAGCAACAAATATTACAAAACATCACCTAAAATCTTGCTTTTCAACAATATCATTTGGCAGTTGACAGGATCTAGGACAGCTTGTCTATTGTCTGTATTTCTATTCATATTGAATTATCTATGTTTTTCAATTCTTGTACATTAAAACTAGAATTAATAAATTTGCAATAGAACATTATTAAAGCAAAAACTACAATGACTGACACAAGCCCATACTGTTAAAAATTACTCAAGTTTCACAGATGTTTATGAAAGCTTCCCAAGCATCATAAGAAAACTGAACATGAAGAAAGAGTCAAAGTTTGTAAATCAAATTCCATATAAAGCAAGCCACAAGAAGTCTTAACATTGGCACCTGATCACATTTAGACAAAAAGATGTCAAGGTACATACCTGTAAATCTGTTGAATATGTTCAGCTTTGATTTCCTTGAGAATTTCATGGTAGATATGAGGGTTATTTGGTTCTTGAGATGGTGGGGGAGAAGGGCATTTCTTGCGCGTATAATATCCTATCACAATTCCAAAAATAAATAAAATCAAAGCAGTGCAAAATACTTTGAGTATCTGAAAAAAACTGCAGCGGTTGCTCTTTGGTGTCTGTCTTGTATAGTGAGAGACATAGTCAGGGTCTTCCTGAAGCCGCTGGAATCTCCCCTTTGGAGAAGATGAAGGCTGGATGGGCTCAAGATCAAGGTCAGGGCTCTGTGAGTTTCCCAGGTGATGCTGGACTGCACCATCCAGTCGGAAATGGTCAAAGCCAGGCTCCTCCAGCTCTTTTTCCATGTCCCATTCCAGTTCCAGTGCTGTAGCTTGGAGCTCATCGTTGTCAAGGTATGGAGAATGACCCTGTGCTCTCTGGTCTGCGTTTACTTTGTGATAGGCCATCTTTTTATCTATTAAAACAAAATTTAAAAATATTTGTTTTCTTACGTATGAACAATTTATTCTTTGTAAACCTGGGAGAACTAAACATACACAATACAAAGCATAAACAGGGTTCTTAGTATTTCATTCTCCCCGTTCTCATTGTCCTGCCTTCTTTTGTAGGATCAGAAGTCCCATGAACATTGTCAGAGTGAAAAGATGATATTTAAGGGAATATATTGTAAGAATATTAATAAAGGGAATTTACAAGTGCCAAAGGCAAAACAGGAAAGTTATCCCATTATATTGTCAGTTCCCAAGATAATAATAACAAAAACAAATAAATAAATAAATAAAATTGGGTGGAGATGTAGTTTCCAAAAGAATTATTTATTACCTGAAAGTAATTTTAAAGTTTAACAAGTGTGTGTATCAACTTCATTTAACACATCATACAAAATAATGCTGTTAAAATAAAGTTTAAAAAGTAGAATTAATATAACTTGCCTGATCTGATTCTAAACACAAGGAAATAGCGAGTTAAAAAAGAGAGATTTCAGGGTGACACTGTACTCACACATCAATAAAAGGCTTCCATTTAGATGGAGCATTCTATTATTTATAGGTATTTTAAATGCATAGTTCCTGAATGACTGATGAATTTACTCAGAAATTGTCCCAGCTGTTTTGCTCCACTTATTTTTCCCATTTTAATGAATCAAAAGCACTGCCAGGTAAGTATTTATATCAAAATCATTCCCTTAATAGCAAGGCGTATCTGTGGTACTTCTAGATATTTCTATGGAAGTATGAGCCCTCTAAAGGGAACTCTGACCTCCAGTACAAACATTCAAAGTCGATTTTCAACAAATCATTTTTAACAGACTGTAACAATAGGGTGCCGTTTTCCTCCATACTTTGACAATAGCTATTCCAACACATAAGCATCTGTAATTTAGGGCTTTTCAAACATGACATTCACTCATCAATTAGAATAAAATGAAGATAAAGATATTAAACCTCTCATGGTGATGGATATTGGACCGACACGTACAATGCTACATTATCCCTCCATTTTTACATTTTAATGCTTTTTCTTTCTCTAAGACTTAACTCCAGAAAACAGTACTGAGGCCACATAATAGATGAACCTCCTCTAATGGCAAAGTAGAATTTAGCTTTTGAAGCTCTCTGAAGAGACCAAACTGTTAGAAAGCACTGATATAATAAAACAGCCCATTGTCCACTGACAGACTGTCCTGCTCTATACAATACCAACTTACAGGTCCTTGAACAGCTATTTAAATATCCCTTGCCTATATATCTTGCCAGGTAGTCTAGAAACAGTCAAGAGAGCCCATACACGAAGTATACGTTTTAAGCGTACCTATTGTATACACTTTACAAATCAATTCTCTGCCTGCAGTCCAAATTTTTCCATATGCAGTGGAAGCAACAGAGTTTAAAATCAGTGTGAAAATCTGCATTATTTAAATAATGATGAAAAAATGTTAGTCTCTAAATTCCAGTTGAGTCAACAAATTATTTATGCATCCAAAGCCATTCTGGCTGCAGTTTATGGACTTTGTTAGCCCAACCGTCAGGTTCATGAAGGTCCCTCTGAACTTACAGTGCTACGACTCCATGTTCCAGTATTTAAAAGGTAGCCACAAAAGAGATGGAGACTCCCTTATTATACAACTCACATGGAGAAAACAGAATCATAGAATGGTTTGGGTTGGAAAGCACCTTAAGATCTTCCAGTTCCACACCCCCTGCCAAGATGAGGGATAATGGGTACAAGTTACTCCTGGGGAGATTCCAACTGGGCAAATGAGGAAAATTCTTCACCACAAGATCAGAGAGCCATTGGAATAATATCCCCAGGGAAGTGGTGGATTCCCCAGTGTTGGGACACCTCAGATTCAGCTGGACAGGGAGCAGGGCCATCTTGTCTAGACCGCAGTTTTTCCAAGAAAGCTTGGATGAGATTATCCTTGAGGTCCCTTCCAACCTGGTATTCTATGAATCTATGATTCTATGACTGTATCCAGTAGGTCAACCTCTTCCCCCATTCTTGTGTCACAACAAGTGTCCAATAACCGCATTTTTCTAACTCCATTACATACTGCTTTTTATCAGAAATTAAAGGCAAGTGTTTTGTCCTTTAAGAAACCATTACTGTATTCCATAAATACATAATTTTGACTCTAGAATTACTACAGTCATTTAACAATATTACCTATACAACAGGAATTAAGGCAGTTTATCAGATGCAGTTGCATGGCAAATACTAATTTTGCTGAGCTTATAAATGTTGACCATTGCACATCTGTGGCAGCAAGCTTTTCTCTGCAATTATGACATTTTAAAATTGCATGTTATTGTTCAATACAGTGTATTGATAAAGGTTATTTAAGTCTATACAAAAAATACTAAAAAATTCCTATGAGTTTTTTAAATGGTTAACACAGATGAGTAGTAATCACATTCCACAGCTTAGTACCTCAGCAATCCAAGTTTCATATAAAGCACCAAAACCAGTTATATCACTCCATGAGGAAAAGAAGACAAGAACCAAAACAAAAATCCAAAACCAACACAATCGAACACACACACATACACACACACAGAGCTATATAAACTAAAATAAAAATCAATATTAAATTCAGTTTTATACTTGACACCAGTCTTTGGAGTATGGGATTTTCTCATCAACACATGTTAAACAATGCAAGAGGAGCCCCAGTTTATTCACTTTTTCTACTCATCTTGTCAAGTTCATTATTTGAGTGTAAGGACATAACATAACTTACCACTTACCTCGAAGTACTTGAGATTAGGGCCCGCAGCGTATTTAACCATGCCAACAGTGATTTTAGAAAAGGGTCTTCTTGTTTTCAATGCACAAGTCATTTGTGACATGTAATCTATACTACCAGTTTGATTTAGTATGTGGCTGGTTAAAGAAGTAGGTGTGACTTACAGATCATGTATTAAGTGTAATTTTAGGTAGGAATTAGAAGGATAAGGAAAACACTACATAGAGAATAACAAAAAATAGAGAATTGAAATATGGATAAACTATATGAAGTCAAGGGAAAAAAAACAAACACACAAAACAAAAAAAACCCCATATGGTAGTCTAGTTTGGACTTCTCTATAATACAGACAATAAAATGAACATTTTTGAAAGTTTCAGGAGATAGAAAATCCATTCCATCTGCCAGCAAGTTGCTTCAACATTTAATTGTTGTTGAATACATGTTTCATTTTAAAGATAAAAAAGCAATTGCAAAATGCCAAAGTCTTGAATGGGCACCAAGTGAGCTTTAAAGCCATTCTATAGGGACAGCAAAGGGGATCACAAACTCTGGAATACTGGACAGAGCCATGCTGATGGCCAATAAAGTTGATATGCAGTTCTGTACTTCCATTTATTTGTGGGGAGAATGTTTATAGAAAGTTATCATGTCAATGCTAAATGTCCTTTCAATTAACTGTATACAAGAAATCAGGGGAATCAGCTTTATCAGACTGTTATTGCCTTAACGAGCCCATTTCAAAACTATCTACCTTTTCTCTGATCTTAAAAATAACACATCTACACCCTGTCTGATAGGTACATCTTGTTAGGAAAACAAACGAACAAACTTTTTTTTTTTTTCCTGATGCCTTTCCTGCTTGAATCCCTTATCAATAAAGCCTTTTAAAACTATATAATAAGGACTATGTGAAAGGTGTTGCATCTGTATCACTGCCACTCTCCAATACCAGAAGGTCAACTTATATGAGCCATGAAACCAAGGAAATACCAATATGAATCTATTACAGTAAATTCTTTGTGACTGGTGCTGTAGTTGTTAAATCCAGTTCATAAATAGCCGAGACAATTAGCAGCTCATTCACAGCAAGAAAAGCGGCAAGCGTTAACATGCTGCCCACAGGGAACACCTTCTGGGCCATTTAGTGTTCGCTACTGAAAAGGCAAATCTTACCCAGGCATTGTACTAAAGGTATTGTGGCCCCTTTATATAGTTATAAAAACAGAAACTCAAGGTTGTTGACTGGTCTCAGTTTTAAAGGTTATTTTTATTTTGTTCTCAGTGTCTTCTATACAGAGTGCTTTTGCTTAGTCCTTGAAATCTTTCTGTGCCCAGGCAAACCCCCAAAGCAAACATAATGACACCTGTTTGAAGGGCTAATAGCTGTACTTACCATAGAAATCAACACCCACTGCACACACAAGTCTTTAAAGTGTATCTGACAACAATTTAGTACTTAGTGAAACGAGATGATGCCAAGTTTCAGGCCTAGACAAATTTCTTCAGTTATAAATCCCTGACAAAAGTTGCTTGCAAAAGAGATTATGATGTCCTTGTCAACAGCAGCATTACACTACACTGTAATTCAAGAAATAATGTGATACCATCCATCATCAGTTCCTTAATTTTCTGCATTAATGGCTTATCCCTCACATTTGGGATATGGGCTTGGCAACCAATTCAGTTACAGTAGGACAATTAAGTTCCTTGTCACTATGCACAACCACCATATAAAAACAAATGACAAAACTACTTGTTCACATTTCACTAGCTGACTTAAAACAAACACAGTCTGAAAGAACGTGCAGCATTGTAGCAAAGACAGAACAGAGAAGTCAAATTTGAAAAAGAAAGTGTGTAGAACACAGCTAAGTTGAGTCCAAGTTGTCTTTTCATGCAACACTACTGATTACTTCTTGGCATATGTGAGTGACAGAGTATTTAACTTCTTTGAAATCTCTCACCAATTTTATTACACCATGAACAGCCATGTGGACCAGGATACTATCAATAACAACACAAAGGGTGACTATGTGACAAGAACAGGGTCTATAATGCACCCTCATTGATATGACTTGTGCACAATGATGTCCAGTTGTAAGCAAGAGTGAACTTGCCTGTCAAAGCACTGATCAAATGTGTCAGTCGCTTGAGCTGTAATATCCTGGGCCATCCCCATCCAGATATGCATAGGTA